GGAGATTGCCTTAAGATAGGGATAAACTGTGGACAAAGGTGATTAGTGAGCATTCATGGACTCTTAGACAATGGATGGGATGTTGGTGTACTGCCTAGGGTAAACAGAACTTCTCCTTGGAAGGCCATCAGTGCAACAATGCACTGCCTATGATCCTCCCTTTTACTAGGTACAATTTGTGTAAAACTGTTCAGAGATGGACAGATCTGCACATTGGTCTAAAACATTGGAGATGTTCAGAAATGTTTCCACAAATGACTTATTATGGAAATGGTCTGAAGTGGTACAAACAGATATACACAAAGAAGTAGTGATAATGGAATGGAAACCTCCAAGGCCAAACAAACTGAAATTAAATTTTGATGGGAGCTTCTTTGGTAATCCAGGGAGGGCAAGTATAGGGGGGTTTTCAGAAACCATCAAGGTGCAGTTGTGGCCTTATTCTCTGGGTCAATTGGATTTGGCAACTCGGTTAAGGCTGAGACTATGGCTCTCTTACAAGGACTAAAACTGGCAACACAGATGGGTGTCAGAGAGCTTGAAGTGGAAGGAGATTCCTTATCGGTTATTTCTTGGGCAAAACAAACTATTTCAGCTCCTTAGAAATATAAATTTGCCTTCAGGGAAGCTGTGTTATATCTGTCCAAGACTCTAAAGACTAGCCAAATATCAGGTGGTGATTGCACAATGTTATGAGATGAGAAGTGATCAGTTGGTGTGGTGTCCCAACCTCAGACGATCTTTGCTGGATCAAGAAGCGGATGAGTTCATGCTGTTGCTAGATAAGTTAGAATAGTCCTAGCTAACATTGTCTTCTAGTGATGGATTGTGGTGGAAGGAATGCAATGATGGGATGTTTTCAGTGAAATCTTTCTATCTATCTCTGATCAAGGAGGAATTAACTGCTAATCAAGTAGATGGAGTATGGGCGAACCCTGTCCCACGAAGAGTGGAAGCCTTTGCTTGGCAGGTAGCACTACACAGTATACTAACAACAAAGCATTTGAAGAGAACGGTTTCTCTATGGCCAGTTACTGCTACCTCTGCAGAAAAGAGGAGGAATCAATATGGCACTTGTTCTTCTCCTGTGAAGTGGCAAATTTCATCTGGAAATTTTATTCCTTTCTTTTCAGCATGCCAGTGTTCCAGCCTTCCTCACCTGCAGAGATATTCTCAGCCTGACCGAGGTTTAAAGGAAGCAAGAAAGCAAAAATATTGTGGAGCTGCATCCCTTTTGCAGCATGTTGGACTTTTGGAAGGAAAGAAACAAACAGTTGTTCGAAGACAAGTCCAAAAGCATTGAAGCTGTGGTGGCCTCAGTAGGAAAGCTTATTTCAAACTGGGTCTCAATTCTACCACAATTTGAGCGACTTAATAGTGTAGACCTAGAAGAAAATTTCTGGGGTGTTCTTGAGATTCCAGCTTGCAATGTAAACATGTTTTCATAGTTTCAGTTGTTTGGGTGTTATCTTGATACCTTCTAAAGCTGTATTTTTCTTTTAATTTAAAAAATTTTTCTTCTTTACTCTTCAAAAAAAAAACAAAAATGGATAGAATAATGAACTGAGTATTAATATTGACCATTACAATGGAGGAACAAAACATGTATGGTCCAAATTTTTGCCTGTCACCCCATGTATGTAGCCTCTGCTTGGGTTCTAGTAAAATGATCACATACCTATTAATTTCTTGTCCATTTTTGTGCTTTATCTGGGCTTGGTTCTCTTTTATCTTTGGTCGCAGGTGGACACCTCCCCCGGATGTGGTAAGCCTTTTTTGACCCAACTTGCTTTTCTACATGTTCCAAAAATGCCTATCAACTTGTATTTTGTTAGTAGTATAACAAATTCTTTAAATTGTTCAATAACCTTCTTCCCTTCTTCTTGTGTTATTTAGGATTTGGCCTCGGGGAAGAGTCGGTAAGAGTCAAGTTATTTTGTGGCACAATCGCCTTGATCATTTGTCTTTTGAGTCATTAAAAGTGTTGCTTCCTAAGCTATTTAAGTTAGTGTTAATGTCTGATTTTATGTGTCAAACTTGTTAGTTGAATAAATAATGTTGAACTTATTTTCCTTTGAAAAATAATAGATCTGAGTTTCCTTTTCATATTGTTTATGCTAATGTTTGGGGCCCTATTACTTTGCCTTTTGAGATTGGCTATAAATATTTTATTACACTCATTGATGACTATTCCAAGTATACATGGGTGTATCCATTGCGGTCAAGAGAAGAAGTTCCTAAAATTGTAAAAGAATTCCAACAAATGGTTTTTACTCAATTTCAAACCAAGATCCAAATCTTCCAATCTGACTATGCCAAAGAATATTTCCATAGTGACCTTTAGAATATTTTGCTTCATGTGGATCCCTTCACCATAGCTCTTGTGATCAAACACCTTAACAAAATGGTGTTGCGAAAAGAAAAGATCACCATTTTCTTGAAGTTGCTTGTGGGTTACTTATACATATGAATGTTCCAAAACGGTTTTGTCTTGAAGCTATTCTATGTGTTGCTTATCTCATCAGTCGTATGCCTTCTCGGTGGTTAAAGTATATGGCCCCACATCAACTTCTTTTTCCAAAAGCTCCCATGTTCCCTATTCCACTTCGTGTTTTGGGGTGTCATTGTTTCGTCCAAAATCTGTCCCCCACCCATGGTAAACTTGATCCTCGCATCATTCCTTGTGTCTTCTTAGGGTATCCCTCTTCCCAAAAGGAATAGCGTTGCTTTGATCCAATTTCCAGGAAATACTACATTTCCAAGGATGTGTCCTTTTCTGAGAGTGACCCTTACTTCTCCATTTCTCCTCAGGGGAAGTGTAGTAGGGTTGAGGAGAAACATGCTCAGGTTCACCTTCTATTCTTGATCCTCCCGCGTTTCGTGTATTTTTTCAACACGAGACAGCTGAGTTGAAGAAATGTGGAGCATCCGGATGCTATATTGCCAGTGCCATTGGACTCCCAAGGGATAGATCCTATTCAGCCAAGTACTCTTGTTCCCATTTATATGACTGATCCCATTAACATTGATACTTCTGTTGTTGATGGCCTAAAACTTCCCATTGCTCAAAGGGTGTTAGGTCATGTACTACAAATCACCCTATTTCCCATTTTATCTCTTATGAGAACATCTCACCCTTTTTTAGTGCTTTCATCTCCTCTACTAACGGTGTTCCTATTCCCAAAAGTGTGGCAAAAGCCCTCTTAATTCCTGAATGGACAGATGCAATGAAAGAGGAAATCAATGTCTTACACAAAAGTGGCACATGGGAATTGGTAGATCTTCCTAAAAGAAAAGAACTAATAGGATGTAAGTGGGTTTTTACAATAAAACATAGAGCTGATGGTACAGTAGAAAGATAATAAAGCTTGATTAGTAATAAAAGGATTTACTCAGGTGTATGGAGTGGACTATGCAGAAACATTTGCTCTAGTGGAGAAGATGAACTCTATCAGGGTCCTCAAATATCTTAAGAAATTTCTAGGTGTTGGGTTGTTGTTCCAAAAACATGGACATTTGAAAGTTGAGGTATACACATATAAAGATTGGGTTGGATCTGTTGATGACAGAAAATCCACCAATGGTTATTGTACCTTTGTGGGAGGGAACCTAATTACATGGAGAAGCAAGAAACAAAGTGTTGTGGCCAAGTCTAGTGCTGAAGTTGAATACCAGACTATGCCTCATGGAGTGGCTAAGATCATGTGGATTAAGAATTTGTTCGAAGAACTGGGATTTACTATGGATAATCCCATGTCCTTATATTATGATAACAAGGCAGCTATTAACACTGCAGCTAATCCTTTTCTTCATGATAGGACCAAACACATTGAGGTGGATAAGTTCTTTATTAAGGAGAAACTTGTTAGCAGAGAAGTATGTACACCCTATGTTGGTTCTGAAAAGCAGCTTGTAGACATCTTCACCAAGGGTTTACATCACTTACGCCATAATGATCTGTGTGACAAGTTGGGCATGATTGACATCTATGTCCCAATTTGAGGGGGAGTGTATTTTGTTGCTAGTAGTTAACTACTAGACAAAGACTGTTCCTAGTAGTCAACTACTAGACGAAGAGTCGACTACCAAGGCATTCCCTCTTTTATTTTATCGCCCTAATATAAATAAAAATGTTGGCGCCACCAAACCTCACTTTTTGACTCCAAATCTTCTCTTCTCTTCCTTCTTCTCTCTTCTATTCAGCAACTTTTCTACCAAGAAAACTGGCATAATTGGAAGATTTCGTCCAACTCAAAAGAGAACATGTTAGCTCCAAGTAGATTGGTCAAATAAATTAAAAGGCAAGACAAGAAGTATTTTGTTTCCAAGAGAGCTAAAAGTGACAGTTAATGTTGTCATCAGAAGTATCAATAACCGACTCTTTTCAGACCAACTGAAGATGCAACCATGCTAATATTATTCTCTAAAATCCTACCAAGTTATTTAGGCATCCAAGAATCAACTACTAAGATTTCCAGAAGATATGGAGAATTGGAGTTCACCAACAACATGAGACCAGGGACACTCTCAAAATACATAAAAGTAAAAACTATGAAATTGCTTCTATCTCAGAATTTCTCTTCACAAAAGGGTCAATGAGACAAGTAGCGATGTGATAAGAAGTAACCAGGGTCTGGTCTCTAATAACTTCAGGATGTAGGGATTTTATAAGTAGATATTGAAACATCTTACATTCATAAGATCACCTGCAAGATGGCACGACAACTAAGACAAAAGTTTCCCCACTTTTGTCACATTGATCTGATCAATAAATTGTCATCCAGTCAAGAAGGGTAAACATTCCAGAATCAAAATGAGGTAATACCTAGGCCTTTGGATTATCCCGACATCTACTAAGCACCAATCCTTGTGAAAAATCCAGTAATATTCCGAGGAATAATATACCATCATTTACCAGCTTTAATTAGATTACAAGACGGCCAATTTCATAATGAAAATAAAAGTTTGAGAAGCTGATTTGAACTGAAAAGGCAATATACCAGAAAGCTGTGGAATTGAAGAAGGTTGGTGCAGTTGCCATTGTAATTATTGAACCACCCGCGAATAAACACTGTAAAATCCGAAGAATGAGCGCAGTCAAAGTCCCAGGTGTTCCTGGAAAATCCTTCATTTTCACGAACCCAGAAAGAAGAGGAAAAAAATTCAGAACCTTCACCCAAGAGAAAGAAGAAAACCCATCTTCTCTATCACAACAACACAGAAGAAACCTCCATTAAACCCCAGATAAGGGATCGCACATTGAACGCCCAGTTGGAAAGAAAAAACAAATAAATAAATATAAATAAATAAACAAAACTAAAAAGAACCCATTTTCAAAGGACCCTCTGGTAGAAACCACCCTTGGCACCCTAAAACCGATACCAAGAGAATAAAATAGAAGTACTGATGTAAAAGAAAAACTGGGAAAAGGAAGGTTTGAAACAGAGCTTGAGTTGGTAGAAGGAAATACAAGCATCTCAGACGAAAAGAGAGTCGAGAGCAACAGTGCACCAGACGGCTAAACTTCAAGCTCAAGAAGAGAAAAAGCAGGAAAAAAAAAAGTCAGAAATTAGAACCAAACAATTTCCTTTGCTGCTCCAGATATTCACACTTCAACCAACAAAAACAGTGCCAGCGGATTTAGTTTGCTTTTGACCGGGCAAGGTTGCATTCGACTGGATGGAAAGTGGAAATCCAGGATTTTTTTTTTTTTTTTTTTTTTTTGCCACCTTCAATGAGAAAAAGAATTCGTCGTTGTAAGGAGGGAATGCTACTTTAAGTGGTGAAAAACAAAGCCACGTCGCCTATATTTTTAAAAATTTTAAAATTTTCAGGTGACGTGGACTTAACATCCACCGTAAAATTAATTATTCCGTGCTCTTTAAAGGGAGCAAAAGTGAACCCACCTCGAATTGCTTCCCTTTTCTTTTCTAACGATCTCGAATTGCTTTTCCTTTTGGTAAATGACTAGGACCCCCCCGTACTATGGGCCAGACCTCTCTACTTTTTTTTTTATTTGTGACAAAGGCCCCTGAATTTTGGCCGTTAGACAAAGACCCCTTGACCGTTAAATCAGATGATAGAAGACGTTAAAATACCCCACTAAGTTTTCTCTAATTTCTTTTTCTTGTCCGTCATCTCCTTTCTCTTTCTTTCTTTCTATGCTCCTAATCCATTCCCTCTTAAACCTACAAAAGAACAGGTCCTCAAACAAATCACACTGTCAGTCAAACAAAAGAACAACTAGATATTGAGAAAAGAACAGTAATAGATACTCAGTTCAAGAAATGTTGTCTTTCTTTCTTTGTTTTTTCACATGTTCTGGTTTGATTAATCGCTCTTGCAGCGATGGATGGTAATTGGTAAGTCGTTGTTGTTAACTATTATTATTTTCCGACAGAGTAGGAGATATTTAAATGTCTCCGACCCTCCACTAAAAACAGAGAGAGAGAGAGAGAGAGAGAGGTATAGTGAGTGGTCAGTCGTTGTAGACCTGTTGCCGAGGAGACGGTGCAGACGAAGAATGAGATCGATCCTCCTCATCAGTCGCGATCTAGCCTCGCTTAATGGAGGGTTGGAGATAATTCAACCACTAGAGGCAGTAGCTTTTGCCACAACGAAGCAGCCCCGCCCGCTTCGGCAACGTCCACCACCGTTCCTCCCCTTCTCACTTTATGTAATTGGACAAAAGCTCATCCTCTTCTAGCATCCAAGGCCCTCGCTTTAGATCCGCCGCCGATGACGAAAAAAGTGAAGCAATCGATCTCACCAGGGTGACAATTTGCAATGTTTATGTTTACTTCAGGTAATGCCAAGAAGGCAAAGATATCATCTTCAATTGGTGGAGGTGGTGATGGGGAGGATACGTGTTTAGAGAATATAGCGAGGGAGGGAGAAATGAGGGTCACAACAAGAAATTTGATGTTGTGGGTCACACCGATATCACTGATATTGCCAGCAATGAGGGTGTGTACAGGGAGGGAGAGAAGTTCTTCCATGTAACACAATAATCAGACTAAATTGAAACTACCTAACAAATTACACCAAAATCATTAAGAGCATAAAAAAAAGAAGAGACAATCGTTAATCAAAGCATACATGGGGTTTCCACTATGGTATCCAATGAAGGTTTCCATGTCTGCTGCTTTGAGCATCTCTCGGTAGGTTGTGGTCTTTCATCCGGTGGCTCCATTGTTTTAAATACCGATGAAGTCAAGTAGAAGTCACTAAACACAGCCTACACAAGGAATATCTTTCTGATATTGTTAGAGCTTCCACGCTTGGTTGCTTTGGATGCCCTGTATGAAAGTGTTTCTATCTCATATGTAAGCACGGAACAGAGTATATCCATGGGAAGAAGAAAATAGAACTGGCCTTGCTCGAGCTCTGCGCCGACTGTTAAGCCAGGAACTCGGTGACCCATATTGAGATTGTATGGGGTCATGGTCGAACTCGCTCCGGACGCCATGTGGCTACCCAAAAAGCAAGCAACACAACATTTCGACCGGGTTTCCTACTAACTCAATTCTACAATCCTCACTACTAACCCAATAAAACAATGCCACCTGTCTCTAAACATGTTTTAGAATCCTAACTTGTGCAAATAGTTAACGGTTGTTATTGCCCTTCCATTAGACATGTTTTCCTAAAAAAATATTTTTTTCTTGTGCATAATTTCTTTGAAATTCCTTTCACCCTCTCCTTTTTGGTGTTGCCGAAATTTACTATATTCACTAAACAACAAATTTTTGTCACCTAACGTCATAATTTTTCTCACTACAATCATCTAATTATATATATGCTGATTAAGACGATTCCATCTTAGATGCCCTCTGAACCTCTCAAAACCCTTCAAATATAAGTCAATCTCTTATTCAATATGTATGGAAATTCCAGCTCCAATACCAATTCATGTTGAATCTGCATCAATCTTGTTAATAACTTGTTTTGAACAAGTTAGAAAAGGTAGACATCCCTTTATTTTTCTTGCTTTTACTTTTGTTTTCATCCTCTTTGCTTTTGCAACTCAATCGAATATAAGCACTATTGCTCTGTTTTCTGTAACTGAAACAAGGCAAACTAGTTCATAGTCGGTCATCCAAACTTCACTCCTCCTTTGAATGGAAATCTACCACTGTATATGGAGGCTATTAGACAATTGATTCCAAGCTTAGAATCCAAACCATAACAGTTCTATTATGAGACTCGTTCTGCTCACTTTCAAACCCGATCCTCCCTTAATTGATCTTTGATGGTGACTTGCCTTTCCATTGAGTAAATCTTGAAATGCCATTGTGATTCCATTGAGCTCACAATTAGGTCAAGAACACCCATATTCACTTCAGTTTTATCCTTGTAGTCATACCTTGGGTCAAAGATAACATCGAGCATAGAAGAGAGAGGCAGAATCATGCATATTTTTTAAGGAATACATGTCTAACGGAGGGGTAATAACATCATCCGTGTAATTTGCAAAGTTAAAGACTCAAAAGATGTTTAGGTATAGGTGGCATTGTTTTATTGGGTTAGTAGAGAGGATTGTAGAATTGAATTAGTAGGAAATCCAGATCGGTACCAAACACCCCTAAAGTTAAAAGAAAATGATATAAATATTGGGTATGTGTTTGGTTCTGTGACATTTATCTTAGGGTGTTTATTGCTTTAAACATTTATTTGAAAAATTTTACTTTTAAATGTTTCATGTTTTTGTTGTTTGATTGAGCATAACTTTTAACGTTTCCTACTTTCCACCTTAGATTAATACCCCAAAAAATATTTCACATAAGCATTTCATTTCAAGAAATGTTGGGGCATTGGGGAAACAAGGGTTTGACATTTTCCCAAATACCTCATACATAAAATCCAAGCATTTATGTTTTTTAGTGTTTATTTGATAAACTTTGAAACCAAACAGTGGTTTCATGCATAATAAACGCCAACACCTATATGGCGCTAATGTGGCAGCCTTTTTTCAATAAAAGCCAGTGAACCAAACATAGCTTAGATGATTATGACCTTCACTTTTATTACCACAAATTGGAATTTGTTTCTCACAAAACATTCCTCACACTAACCTCACAGCCACATCCTATCATGTAATGGGAATATCTCCCATGAATAATATAACATACAAGTACAGGAAATGTTACAGATGTGCCGCTACTACATGCTGTGAGGTCTGGGTGAGGAACCACACGTTTCTAGGTAAAACCATGAAATCGTGGCCTTCAACAAGGTGGAATCACACATATATCAGACTGTGATTTCACAATTTTAGCACAGGGCTCAAACCATGTCTTCGTAAAAGTGGATTGGATGATTATCTATGATAATATATGAACCAAAAAACTTCCATAAAAATTGAACCTGTGACCTTTGGTTTACTTTGGTTCAGCAGAAAATAATGGAAAAACCACGTTGATTCCTTCTCCTCCCTTTTATCTGATAAACCAAACACTACCTTCATGATTTTCTTTTTGACAAAAAAAAATAAAAAATAAAAATAAAAAGAAGTAGTTTCATTAATGGATTGATAACTGCACATGAGAGTGGGTGTAATAAGACATATCGTATAGAAATCCGACCCTTACAATCAAAATAAGCAAAAAAGATGTACCATCTAATTACAGTGCCTATTGACATTGAACAAAAGAAAAAGATGTAAAAACAAGCAGTAGCCTTCTAGTATGATTCCATTGTTTGGTTGGGATTGGATCTCAGCATCATAACTTTCAATGGTCAGCTTTTTACCCAGTTGGGTTTCGACTATAGCAATTGGGTACTGTTGGTAGACCCATTATAATTTATTTAGGTTCCGTTTGTTTACAATACAAATGCCGAACTGAGGTATTTATATACCCCGGTTGGCATTTCAAAAAATACTTTTTGGAAGAGAAAAAGACAAAAGGATCACTTTCTATCATGATAATGAGCAGAATCATCCAACCACATCTCTTTTATCTACCCGGAAAAAATATATGCTACCTTTTATATTCATTTGATTACAATTTGGGAATAAAGCATGCGTAATCACCCACCAACTACTCCTTTAGTTTTATTGACTCTTTTCCTACTAATTACTTTAATTGAGATTCTAGAGATGAATTTTTTGGAGAAGCAAAATCCAAGGGTCTCCATGAGTTTAGGAAATGAACCCACCAACCCCATTTCTACTCTAGTTGATCAAGAATAATGTTTATTTACTTTTAGTAAGCAAGTGTTTGGTCATGGATATTGACGGCACCTTGCAGAGTCAATCATCAATGAGAAATTGACCACCCAGTTAAGTAATTCAGAATTCAGGCTCACAGATTGAAATTAATTTCTTTTCTCTAGCCTTCTTAATGGAGTTGTTTGGAAAGAGATAGATATGGTTTTAGAGGGCGGATTACCACTTATCTTCTATAGCTATGATGTTTATGCTTATCTAGATCTGCCCGTTGGCAAAAGAACTAGTAAATTTGAAGAGAATGGCACATGGAATTGAACTTCTATTGCCTTAACGTAAAAGACTATCCAATACCTTCTCGAATTGAGCTAATAAATACTCAACCACAAAAATGTTTAGGTTGTGTTTTGTTGCGTGCAAATTTTGAATCAGATGCAACTTTTTTATCCAGTTCAGTTTTTGCATATGTTTCTTTATAATCATGAATGGCACTCCTACTTGATATAAAAAATTATATTATTTACAT